GGCCTCTAAAATCCTCTGAGCATGCATATATTTATTATATATCAGTTTGTTTTTGTGTTTCTAATCTTTGCGCTTAAGTCCATATGTTCACATAGGACTTTTCTGTAAACATCGACACAGTTCTACGAACTGACCTTCCCTCAGGAGTTTCCTGGCACATTCGAGCTCTTGGCAGACGCAGGCTGTATATAGTGCTGTGCCCAGGTGAGGAATGTCCATGTCCACATCTGCCCCCCAAGTCACCAGAGCCTCTACACAACCGTAATGACCTGGAAGTAATGAAGCGTGAAGTCAGTAATCAGTAAGTGACAATGCAAAATAATTCTCCAAGCTGTCTGCTCAGGCCCTGTTGGATTTATAACTAAAGCTGTTTATCATAGTGCAAGTAAGAACGTGCTTATAGCACAGTAAAGGACACAAAATCAGGTCGAAAGTCAAGCGTAATCTGCAGTGAGGGGAACTGCGATAATGTTGGGTTATTTTCTGATTGCAGTGCTCTGATTATACCGTTAGTCAAAAATAATGACTCTCATCAGCAAAAGCCGGCTCTCACAAGCTTAAGTCTCTTAGGACTGGTCCTCTAACACCGGCTCACTTTGAAGTAAATGGTCCATGTAGAATAGTCTCTTTTTGCAAGGGAATATCTTTCCATTGTGTTTCACATACACCCACACAGTATGACATGCATAATCATGTAACACTAACTTGAATCACAAAAAATACTGAAAATAATCAGAGTTTATGAATTTTTGTAAAATCGTTGGCCATGACATACCTTTGCTGGTTGCTTCGTGTATCGGAGAAGGTTGATATACAAGACTCTGGGGTTTTGCTCCATTTTCCAGAAGGATTTCCGTGCATGCCACACTGCCCACTGTACAGGCATTGAACAGAGCGGTGACTCCATCAATTGTAGAAGCATTGACCTGTGAACACATTTTGCTTTTATTCTTATTTTTAGGCCTTATTTAATCATGCAAGTTGACTAATAGTAACAGCCTGGGGGTACAGTTGAAAGGGAACAACAACAACTTAATAGCTCTGCAGTGACTGAAACAGGACATTGCTCATTTGTTACCCTTACCCAGATTTTCCCAGCCATGGAAATTTAATTTGACCTGTGCAACATGGCAACATTAAAGAGTCACCAGGCCACTATAAGACTTACATTTGCTCCTGCATCAATGAGTGCTCTGGCACAGGCAACATGGTCTCCAAGACAGGCCTCATGCAGGGGTGTTACATGGTCTATAGTCAGAACATTTACATTGTGACCCTGGAAACAGAATCAAATAGCCACAAATATTTAGTGGGCATGGATATTTATGGGACATTAACTCATAAATGAACAAGAACATTAATAAAGTTTATCTCCTCTCACAAAACACAGACATTCTCTTCAGTCAGGGTTCTTAGCGATTTTCAAACTGTGATGATTTCAACAGCAGAGATTAACAAGCCTGCTAATTAAACCAATTAAATCCAACTGAAAGCCAGTAAAGAGCTAATAAATTACCATCTGAAATCCTGTAATAATTGTCCTACTTTGTTATGAATTTGTCTGACTAGAGCAAAGCATTGTTTCCTCTGTAGCTGAAGTCACAGGCTTTTTTGTAGCACACTCTGTGAGCAGCTGGAAATGCAAGTGGAGATTTCACTTTTAATGCATTTGTATTAGTATTGTACTTGTTTTTGTTTGTGATGATTCTTTCCTTAGCATATGCTCAAATAATAGTTCCATGGTCAAACTCCCCTCACACACTATACATAAGGGGCATGTATATGCCATAAAAACTACAAAAATCACATTCATTTTAAAACCATGTGGTTATTGTAACCCATAGTACAAGTTTGAGTATTTACATTTTGTGTTGTTGGCATTTAGCTAGCCTGTATATTGAAATTTATGAACTGTTGTTAAGTATGTACAGGTTTAAAGTGTCAAATAGGGCAGTGAATAGAAAGTACAATCTCTTACAATTCCAGGGGTTTGGGCCATGAATTAAAAAGAAAATCTTTGGGTAAATAAGGCCTTTGAACTACTGTACAATACATGATATATCATACCATGCCATTGTTTATTTTCCAAAAACTAGGCCAAAATCCTAGCACTATGTGAAAAATTAAGTACACTCCATGATTCAATAGCTTGTAGAACAAACTTTACTCTGACATTGTTCTTTAAAACAGGGTTTGTGGGGATTTATCCACAGCTTCCTCAAGGTCTCACCACAGCATGTTAGCTAAGAGGTTGATCTGGACTTTGACTGTCCCACTGCAACACCTTGGGTCTTTTCTTTTTCAGCCATTCTGTTGTAGGTTTGCTCTTGTGATGATGTTCTAGTCTGTGACCAAATTTCAGCTAAGCTCTAACAGATAGCCTCATCTTTAACTGTAGAATGGTGTTGAATGGTGTTCATGGTTAGCTCAGTGACTGCTAGGGGCCCAGGATGTGTGATTGCAGAAGAAGCTCAAATCATCACCCCTCCACCACTGAGCTTGACAGTTACTATGAACAATTACTGTCACTATGAAGTGATTGTGCTGATATGTTGTGTTTCTGTTTTGCCAGATGTGGCACTGTGAATAATGGCCAAACATCTCCACTTAGGACATTGGTTCCAGGTGCTGCCATGTTCGTTTTAGAGAGAACAGGCTTTCTACTGGCAACCCTTCCAAACAAACCATATTAGTTCAGTCTTTTCCTAATTGTACTATAATGAGATGTAGCTTTTGGGTTTTTGGCAGTGTCTCTGGGCATTGCAGAGATGAATTTGGCAACTGTCTTGAATGTTTTCCACTTGTGAATAATCTTTCTCACTGTAGAATGATTTGGTCTTCCCAAACAGATCAGCAGCAACAATTGCTTCTTTAAGATAATCGCCTAGTTTTTCCTTATTCGTTGGCAATGTGCTAAACATTGACACACACCTGCACGCTCCAGACCAGCAAGTGCCAAAATGTCTGCTCTTATATCAGTGGTTACACTTGCTGATGATCAGTTACTCAGATGCTTTTACCCTAATGCATTTAGGGTGTACATAATTGTTTCTGCACTTTGGCTCAATTTTTTATCATGAAAATAATGACAGAGTGTGTGTTATGTCGTGTTTTTTTTAATTCATTTTAGGTGGTATTTACAAGATTTGTGGAGCTGTTCAGAA